ATTTCCACACTTTCTTCTCCTCTTCGTGTTTACTACGTACATATCAATATGAATGAAGGTATAACTGTCAACCTACATAATTACTATATATGTAATATCGTTAAAAGACGAGGACATCAACAAACACGAATATGATTGCAGATATGCGATAGTGCAAATTTTGTCGACGATTAATTTGATAAATAACCACTAAATATATTTTCTAATTTTTCCAAGAAATCTCTTTAATTTTCTGTAATTTTGATATTAACATATACAGTCATGTACAGCTGACGCTATATCATAGAGAGAGAGAGAGAGAGAAAGAGAGAGAGCGTAACATTTCCCACTTTGCTCCGAAAAGCTGAGATATACGGAAATCAAGTAAAAGAGACGCATCCGAGAACTAACTGCGTCAGAAATCCAGCTATACCCTAATAATCCGTTCGGAAACCCAAGCTTCCTCCTCCTGATGGAATTCAGCGGGGAATATTAATACCTTTATAAATGCAATTAATTTTGTGGCCGAGCACACGAAGAAAGGATTTCGAGTTCAATCTTGTTCATCTGTTTCCGTGTAAGCTATTTCAATGCCGACAGGCATAGATTATGAGACGATGAAGTGAAGAAATGCGAGAGATTGTACAGTGAAGATTAAAGCGCCGATGGGCACTGTCAAAAGCATAATCTCGATGCTGGGCCCAACAACCGTGTTCTTATATAAAGATTCAAGTTTGCCGAAGAGATGCTATCTACAACACACCAAAGCGACAAACTTGTAAGATCTCCGCGGTAAGATCACAGCTGCATGCGCACTGGCAGTTACGGGCGCACTAAATCGACATGGCAAGAAATAGACTGCCATCTGGATGTTCTGCGCTTGACAAACGTGCAGTACACGTTCAAATAAATTGTTTGCGAATGCAAATTAATTTCTAAATTTCTCTTTCGTACACCATAAATATAACTGTTTCTCTTTTTCATTTAATAAATCGCATATAATGAGAAACTGCACTTTTCGACAACAAATTATCCGTTATAGAAATGTCTTATATATTACAGTCTCAAAAGACAAAAGAGGAATCATGTGTATTATTTAAAAAAGTAAATGTATATCTGTAACTATATATAGGTACTAATTTACTAAAATCTGTACAGTTTTTTTCGTTGGATCGTTTTGATTATTTTAAAATGTGAAATATATATACGATTTATCTTCAGCAGCAGCATTCTTTTAATCTCTTTTCCTTTGAGAAACCAATATGGGTTATATAGAGCTCTTTCGCGTTCGAATATAGAAAAATAAAGTAAGACGTTTCTTAACCAAGCGCGTTTCCGTTTGCGACGAAACAGAAATAACGCGTGCAGGAACGATAAAGCTCGCGTAGCCAACGACCTTATTACACCGATGCGTATATACTAACGCGGCAGGTTTATGTTGTTTGCATTCGCAAGCATCTCGAGCAAGCAAGATGGAAACCTCAATTCGACCACAGAGACTTTCGTAAAATTTCTAGCGCAAATAAACTCCAAATATACTGTCCGTCTGTGGATATATCAAAAGCTTTGTACGAATGTACATATGCATAAGCAGCAACAATAACAAAATGTCTATATTCTATTTTCTTTTACTTCATTAAAGTATAATTTTGTCGAAGAAAAAGATCGATTATAAAAAAACTTATATATTTAATAAAATATTATAATTTAGGGTACTTTATAATATATGTTCTATACAGAATATATATACATAATATACATAAACTACCTATATATACATAAACTGAGATAATAAAGATTTATAACAAGATACATACATTATAATACCTAGTTCAGCTACTGTAATAAAAGACATATTTTAAAAATTCACTTCTGTATATATATATATATATATATATATATATAACTAAAGACTCGTATCTCGTTAAATAATGTAGCCTCTAATTAAAAACCTCAGCGAAAAAAGAGTGACAAAACAAACTAATTCAATTAAAATAAATGATGTCAAAAATTCGTCTACGTGTCCGTCACAATTAACATCAACGTATATTTTCGAAACGTATACGACGTGCATATCACACATCAGTTTCTATTAAATTAATGCAATACGTGATCAATTTTTTATAAAACCGATAAAACATTTAGTAAAAACTTGTTGCATAAAAAGAGATTTTATATTCTCTTATTCAATTGCCATTTTAGTATCAAAACATTTCTTAGCATAATGATAACAATTTTCATAATGATAGTATAAGTAAAAGATGAGATAGAGTAGAAACTTTGTGAAAGATATAACTCTTCTTTCTTGTTAATCGATACAAATAGCTTATAACCGATAAAAAAAGAAACAGAAGATTCTCGAGCTATAGTTTTAATGTAAAATCAAAATGATGAATTATCACACTAACAAGAGAGATATAAAAGATACATTTAAAAATGCATTTATTTTTTAGAAAAAAGAGAGGAAGGAAAATATTCTATACTAACCTTTAACCTTTTCCCTTATATTATTAAATCATGCGTTTTGTATTAAACCGCGCCAAGCTTTTGAATTTAAAGACTCTATTCTTTTTGGCCATTTTAATATCTTGCGGCAAGATTCGCAAGAAAAGGCGACGCCGCAAGCCCTGGAATTTCGTGATTATCGAATATCGATTTTCGCAGACGCTATATTACTACTGCGAGGGAAACTTTGCCAGCTTTCCACAAATATCGGGACATTCCCACCTCAACCCTCATATAATCGCCCTACCCGATAACTTCGTTCATCTGCCTCGATGCAAGCCACGGAATTATATCGTGCAGCACTACCTACTCACAGAAATCATCGATCCTCGAATCCGGTACATATCGATTAATATTTTGCAATTGAAATATTTTTATATTATACCGTTATGAAAGAGATATTATATATATATCGAATTACGCTCTCAAAAAGCATGCGCGGTTATTTCATATTAAATTGATTCGAATTAAATTAGTTGAAGCGGAGTATCTCGTTTTGTTGTTCAATTTATCAATTTCCCTTCTCTCAAAGCTTAATTTGCAAATAACTTCCGATTCTGCCGATTCCGTTAATTTAACAACTAATTTCGCTTCGATATTTTCAAGTAAATTCTAAATAAATTTAATCTTAGATATCTTTTAGTAATAATCTTCATATCGCATAATGTATTTATGATAGTATATCTATAAGCTGCGCACTATTAAATATGTACATAGATGCGCATCAACTGATATGATTATGAACGTGGCTCACTGAACCGTCCATCTTCGATGTAATATATTTTCCTATCGTATACAAGCTATCTTGTTGCTCGATATCAAACTGCCTTGAAACTACTATGATTACGAAGATCGGTTAATAATGCTCGAGTGCGCGTTTATCCGAATTTCGAAGTACTTGATAGGCGTTAGACTCGGTCGCAATAATAATACCGCGGTCAGCCGTTGCATCCGTTCTGTCAGCAACGTGTTGGCAGCAGTACGTCGCAGATGTCGGATGTCCGGATGTCACGTAGTCGGAAAAGCGCGTCGGAAGTCCTACCTCACACTGCATATGCTGCTGATGCACACGTGAATGCACGTTTACGAATGAGAGAGAGAGAGAGAGAGAGAGAGAGAAATGTCACGTAGTGCAAGTTAAATTTCTCTTCCACATGGTATGATTAAAGATAAGATAAGATTTGTCGTTAAACTGTATACGTGTCAGTGCGAAATGCGTTGTTTATTTTTAGAAAAGCACGTTAGCTATACGAGATATTTTGAAAAATATTCTGCGCTCCATGTAGCGAGATTTATCAATTAAGTGAAAGCGATGTCTTCTTAATAAAAATATCAAAACATCAATGGCTTTTAAATTGTTGCTATGTATATAAAATGCAGTAAATTTTATCATATAACTTTTATCACATACGAGAATATGAGAGAATCTTTTCACTTATTTTCAGTGTGATATAATTTATATACTATGTATATATGTATATTTCCGTTCACTGAAAATTCAGTGTAACTCAATAAGATTAATATCATTCAGCCGGGTTCGAATATATATGTATAAAATAAAATTCAACGTTATCATATTCCACGTGGATATTTCACAGCGATAAGGCATTGACACAAATCGCGCTGTTTATAAAATTGGGAAAATTCGTGACGAATGCTGGAGCACTCGTTGTTGTCTCTCAGTTTGCGGTAGTAAAATTTTTACCGCCGCGTTTAAATGTAGCGAGCCAACATTGCGCGATAGTATATATTTGCATGCATCGATATATGCACGGTTTGATCGATCCGGCGCAACGCACGCGCACCACGAAAGCTCGCCTATTTGTATGCACGTATGTCATTGTGCGTCATATGTTGGTCCCTTCCAGTCCCCTGCCTTTCTCCGATCGAATTTAAATTTCAAATCGACGCTAAAAAACGATCTGAGAGCGTCGACGTTAATCGATATGCATCGATCAGTCATCGAATCTCAGATAAGCCTTAATTCCGGCTTATACCTTAACAATGTGCAATCACGCGTACAGCGAAATTGGTATTTCTCCGCAAGTCATCCGATCGGTCTACAATTTTTCCCGCATTATATTTTTATTGATATATGCTAGGACGAAAGTATTGTACACACGCATATGTGTAATTTATAAACTGTTAAATAAAATGTAAATATCCTCTCTCACATGGAAATTTTAAATGTTGTTTCGTATCGAAATAAAAATATCAATTGAACTCGGTTCTTAAACCAGAAAAATTATTACGATCGCATTTTCTATATTTATATGCAAATTTCACCCACAAAATATTTATGTTGGATAATAGCCGAAATGTTATTTGCACAGTTTCATAATATCCATTACGGAATGTGAATGCATTTTTGAAATAATAAATTATATATTTTTCATATGCTTTCAGCGATTCTTCGCGTTTGCGTCATGTTAGATCCAATTCTGTAATGCTACGAGCGTAGTGTCGTTGACAGAGTAACGTCTAAGAAAAGAAGTTGTTAAAATTGCACGACTTACCGATGTGCCGAGCGACGGAAGGATCGGGCGTAAATTCTGAAACACAAAAGAAGAGAACTTTTAGACGCCGTGAGGAAAAAGAGAGCGGAGACATTCCTCCCCCCAATCGTTAATCTTCCATGAGGGAAACATTCGTCCCGGCTCACACGAGACTGTTCGAAACTTGAAACCAACCTTCGCCAACCCCAGAGATGCGCGTACAAGGGGGCATTGAAAGTCTCCAATATACCCAGCATTTATCGTTTGAAGAAGACGAATACGATTCAGTCGAGAAATTCTCGACGAAGCTGTATTCTCGAAGAATCCCGGATATGTTGGAAGCTTCAAGCAGACAACCACGAAGAGAAAGATAAAATCCGATCTTATTTGAAAATGTTTGCGCGTTTTCTTATATGTCAAAGAAACAACGGAGATATTAATGTCACATCCCCGATGTGTTTCGCTTATTCGAGCATGGAGAAATTTAATTAATGTCAGAATGGAGATCGAATGCACCAGATACCCATGTATAGAAAACTGTTAGGGCGACCTTAAAAAATGTCGGGCCCTTTAAGGGTTTAAACGTGGGGTTCCTATTAGGGATTTTTACATTACTGCCAGATTAGATTCTAGTAAGGTGATATCAGTTTTGAGTAGCTAATTTAATGTACGGTCTGAAAAAAAAATTAATAAGGGTCCTGATAGAACTTGATGAAGGTAGCAGTATTAAAATAAATTATGATATTTTTAACTTATTATTTATTCGAAAACTCGACTAAGTTTTAAAATAAATATATTATTATATATATATATTAATAACCATTACCTTGATTAGACCCTATTAATATTGGTTTTCTCGATTAGACCATACATTAAATTAGCTACTCAAAACTGATATCGCCCTACTGAGACCTAATCTGGCAGTAATGTGAAAATCCATAATAGCATAAAGACATATATATCTATCTGATATATATTTGATGATATATATATTTCAGATAGATATACAGGGTGTCCGGTAACTAACGGACCAATGATTAAGGGCGGATTCTCTGGCCAATTTGGAGACGATTTTTCCTTAGCAAAAATGTTGAGAAGTCAATCATTTTCGAGTTATAAGCGATTGAAAAAATGGGTTTTTGAAAACTAAACGTTTTGGAGTTAAAAGTCTAACATAATTACATTTTTCAGTTAATTTCAGGTAGAGTTTACTATAATAAAATTTTAATTTGAGGTTTAGTTATAAAGATACATAATGACAAATATTGGAAAGTTGTAAAAATGATGACCTTTTTCGACATTTTCGCTGAGGAAAAATCGTTCCCAAATTGACCAAAAAATCCATTTGTGATCGTTGGTCCGTTAGTTACCAGACACCCTGTATAAAAAGAAAGTGTTCTACACAAATTACATTTTCATGAATTTTTAAAGAAATACGCGCGCGTTGTTGATGAGGGTTGATAATGGCCCTATTACCGTCCTCGAAATCTCGCAATGTTTTCACAGCTCGACAGATTTCGTCGGCATGTGAAAATGACAGATTCTCCTCCGCCATTGATCACCAGCCAGCCAAATCGGAAGACAAACGAGGCAAACACGAGGCCAGCAGAGATATCCGCTGTCGCAGCCACCCTGTTTCGAACGAAAGAGAGGACGAGAGGACAGATTCCGTTCGCCCGCAATTACAGAGCACGGATTTGCATGAAAGCGAAAAAAAAACTTTTTCCCCCGTCAGCAGCGTTGTCTCCTTCTCTCTTTCATTTTTTATTGCACATTTACAAAATTGTTCGTTCGCAATTTTCGGCTGCGATCGACGGCTGCAAGTATTTGAATATAAATTAGCCCTTATAATTTGCGGGACCAATAAAAAAGTTGTTTGAAACAGAAAAGCAAATATTAAATAAATTTATATATATATATATATAACGCAATAATATTTCAGCTAAGAGCTTATATAAAAAAATGCATAAAATCTCGAGTGATTGAGGATAGTTTTCACCGATAAAACGATATTAAAATGCGGCCGATAGAGCGTTGTAACAACGTTGTAAACGGCGTAGCTAAAGCGTGTATTCAATACATTAGATTGCAAACAAAGCGAGTTCGGGTGAGCTCCGCCCCGGCAAGAGATAACACGCGAAACGCGGTTCATGAAAGCTTATACTTACTACCGCACTTCCGCGCACACATCATTAGGTTCACAAAGCGACCGCAGAGATTTTCCAAAATTAAAGCGCGTTATTATCGAGAGAGCGTTCTCACGTGTGAATAAACGCGCGAGGCCCGATTTCACAGGCCGATGACTCCAGCATCCCGTAAAAGTATCCAAAAACATGTATAGACACACATGCGATCATCCAGGAAACTATCACGGCGCTTCCGCATTCCTCCTTTTTCAAAGGGCTATCCTCGTGAACGCCCCACGTAAAAGGGGGCGTATATATATTTTTCACCGTCCTCTAGATAAATTTTCTTAAAGGGAACAAGAAAGTAGTGAATTTACAAAAGATAAAAGACCTTCCGTAAATAATTAGTAAAGTGTAGTTAATGAAAAATAGTTGCTAAAAGTTAATAATACAATATAATTGTAGTTACTACAGAAATTAAGTTAAGCAATAATTATTAAAAGTAATTTAAATAGAAATTAAATATTAAAGTAAGATTATATAAGTTAGTAAACGCAGTTAATATGGTGTCTTATACGCGAAATATTTAATGCGAAATATTTAAATTTGATGAAATATCTCTATTTTAATCTATCCAGTTTAATCTATTTTGATACAGTTGAAAATAGAAGCAAATACATTTTGCATGAGCAAAAGTATGGCGAATTTGTTTGAAATTTAAATAAAGATGACAAACCGATTCCGATTCAATCCTAAATTGCAAGAGACAATGTCAATGTCAGTTACAGCGAATCAGTTTCAGTCACTGTAACTCAATGTCAATATCAATTACTGCAATATCCAAGACAATACTCTGCCATTTCGACGTTGAATTACGTACAAGAATCGACTTTATATCATTCTTGTTAATTTCGTTAAATCATATTCCATGTGTATCTAATATTCGAAATTATACTCCAAGTTAATTTTAAGCAGATTTATTACAATCATTCTATTTTCCCTTTATCAATTTAATCTCGTACCTTATCGTTAGTGGAAAAAAATATTCCTTTTTATAATTAAAAAAAGTTCTTTTTCTCGCAAAGAAGAAAAATCTTTCTTTTTATTTATGGAAAGAAAGAATTTTTTTCTGTTGTAAAAGGATTAAACTCATAATCCACGGTGCGCATTTACATGCTGACTGCATTTTCTGCTGTCTTTGCAGATTCAATGCTGCGGTGCAAAATAGGACTCTTGTGCAGGTGCAAAGCATCACACGAAACAAATTGCAATGCTCGTTACAAAACCCGCATTTAACCCGCAATATTATCTTTCTGCGATTAATATAATGTCGAGATAGTTTCGATATATTTTGTTTTTATACCAGTTACACCGGTTAATAATATAAAACAGATACGAGGAAAGATAAATATCATCGGGGTCCGTCCATGTTTTACACGTGGGTAAGCGCGCTCACTGACATCTAATTAACAAAGGCGCAAATAATTTCTCTCTCCACATAATAACAATTGTCATTACAACTCTGGAAAGTCCGTCGCTCGAAATGAAGCTTGATTAAACTTGAGAGCGCGCCATCCTTCGAGAGGACTATCTCTTTTCGCGGATATTACTCTTGACAGAAATCTAATTAGAAATATCAAAGTCGTCCTCACACGTATATCCGTGTTACCATGTCGCGCTTAAGAGAAACCCAAGACTTTCATTTTGCCCTGAGACTTTACGTTCTAGCAAGTTGTCGTTAATTCGCACGCGAGCACGTTGAATTTTATTGCTTGGGACCCCCGTCGATCCGACAAATGAAACTACCAGGCTGTGCTTTAATTTTATATATGAGTGATGCAAAAACGTGTATATACATATTTTATTATACTATGTATATATATATATATATTATATACATGTATAAAATATATGATATTGTGAGAAAATTAGATGGTGAGAAAAATATCGAGTTCGTGACTGTCACTGTCAAAGCTGGTAAAAGAGTCGGAGGTGAAACCTGCCAGGTAGTTCTCTCTGTTTTGAAGGAGAATCCAAATGGATGCCCATGATACTGTACAGCAATATATCCAGTAGCGCGCATGTCTAGCCGCTGTCACCCGTCGTCTCGACTTTTGATGCTCGAGAGAGATAAGGAGCAGCTTAAAGCAGCGCAAAATTTCAGAATCGGATAACTTTCTACATTATATATGACTTTATATATCGACACACACTTTCCGAACGAAAATAGATTTATGATATATCGGATTTACGATACATCACGATGTGAAATTTTTGATATCTAATAACACATTATATTATTTCCTAATAAAAAATTATTGTTTTATAGCTTTCGAATAAAACATAGAATATCTACACAAATATATCGCAATGTGCAATATTATAAATACACTCTCCTCTCTATTACTGAATATACTTATTCCATTTAATTCTTTATATTCTTTATACCCAAGATAAATATAATATCCAAAAATTTAATAAAACACATCTGAGTATATAAAAAATAATGAATTTAAGATTCTTGTATCTTTACTGCAGCTATATCACATTATTGTCAGAAGCGAGAAAATATACAAGTTTTATTTTCGTAAAATACATCGAAAATTAATTATTTCGTGTTCGATTATATAGATTAGTGAAATATACAGGAAACTCTATTTTTGATTCGTGAATAAATAAATAGCTGTAAGTCTTCGTCAATTATCTATTTTAGCTCAGATTAGTTCAACTAGTTTTGTATAATTGCAAAATCAATGATAAACTATTTTTGCTACATATAAACTAAATGTAGTCTACAATAAGCTGATAAGTATATGTAAATCGACAAACACTAACCAGCATTCATGACCATGACACATTTATACATTTATTGATTTTACAATTGCTGTGAAGAAATTATTTTATAATAGTAATCTCAAGAAGGCTTTACATTACA